TACATGAGTGTGTGTGTGTGTGTGTGTGTGTGTGTTTTCTAGTGTGGATCATGGAGGAGAGTTCAGGATCACATCAGGACTCCAGAAATGTAAGTCCTCAATCAGACTGAGTTTTCTTGTTTGTAGTTTAGTTGTAAATGTGTGTGTTGTAATGTGTGTGTTGTGTTCAGACGCCTGTGATCTCACACTGGATTCAAACACAGCACACAAACACCTCGTTCTGTCTGAGGAGAACAGAAAGGTGACGTGTGTCTCTGAGCGACAGTCATATCCTGAGCATCCAGACAGATTTGATGAGTATTATCAGGTTCTGTGTTCAGAGAGTCTGACTGGACGCTGTTACTGGGAGACTGAATGGAGTGGAGCTGGTGTTTATATATCAGTGGCTTATAAAGAAATCAAGAGGAAAGGAGGGAGTGATGACTGTGTGTTTGGACGTAATGTGAACTCCTGGAGTCTTGAGTGCTCTGATCACAGATTCACTGCTCGTCACAATCGTAAGGAAACTGTCATCTCTGCTGCTTCAGACTCCTGTAAGAGAGTAGCAGTGTTTCTGGACGAGTCGAGCGGCTCTCTGTCCTTCTACAGCGTCTCTGACACACACACACTCACACACTTACACACTTTCACACACACATTCACTCAACCTCTACACACTGGATTTTACCTTTATTACAACTCTTCAGTGTCTCTGTGTCACATTAAACATTAAACTCTCACACACTCACACACACACACACTCTCACTCACACTCACACACATTAGTACACACACACACACACACACACACTCACACACTTACACACATTCACACACACATTCACTCAACCACTACACGCTGGATTTTACCTTAATTACAACTCTTCAGTGTCTCTGTGTCACATTAAACATTAAACTCTCACACACACACTTACTCACACACACACATTCACACACTTACACACATACACACACACATTCATTCAACCTCTACACGCTGGATTTTACCTTAATAGTTACAACTCTTCAGTGTCTCTGTGTCACATTAAACACTAAACACACACACACAGACTGATAAATTTGTAAAATAAAATGTCATATTTACACTGTGTCATATTTCTCAGGCTGTATTTTCAGGAGTTCATTTAATTTTAGTGTTATAGAAATCAGACTAAAATTACTTCATCATCATCATCATCATTATTATTATTATTATGTGTTTGAAACCAACATTCAAAGCACTGCTGGAGAAAAGTGAGTTTATGCAGCTGTACATTAAAAACATTCTTTTGAAACATTTAACGCTCCGAGTCTCTTCATTTCTGGGTCACACTTGCTGCTTGAAATGTAAGTTTGTTTTTTGTTTGTTTGTTTGTTTTTCTGGAAAATCAATGTAATACATTTTTGTTCAGTAATATTTTGAGTTTTGAGCAGATTTTATGATACTATTCAATAATTATATAAAATTGTAAAAGCAGTGATAGAGGGGGAAAAAAAGTGTTTATACAACTGGACTTCAGATAAATTCTTTTGAAACATTTAATCGTCTGCAGCCTCTTCATTTTAGGAAAATCAGTGTAATATATTTTTGTTCAATAATATTTTTTGAGTATTATTTTACATTTTGAGAGGATTTAATGATACTATGCAATATTTATATAATTTCTATTAGTTATTTTTCCATTAAAATTAATTAAACTGAGTCACCTCATTTTTGGTTCACATTTGTTAATTAAATCTAAGTGTTTTTTTTTTGTTGTTGTTTTTGTTTTTTGTTTTTTTTTCATCAGGAAAATCAATGTAATATATTTTTGTTCAATAATATTTTTCGATTATTATTTTACATTTTGAAAGATTTAATAATACTATGCAATATTTATAAAATGTTTAATAGCTATTTTTTCATCAGGAAAATCAATGTAATATATTTCTGTTCAATAATAATTTTGGATTATTATTTTAAATATTGAGGGGATTTAATGATACTATGCAATACTTATACAATTTTTCACAAGCTTTTTTTCCATTAAAATTAATTAAACTGAGTCACTTCATTTTTGGTTCACATTTGTTAATAAAATCTAAGTGTTTTTTTTGTTGTTGTTTTTGTTTTTTGTTTTTTTTTTCATCAGGAAAATCAATGTAATATATTTTTGTTCAATAATATTTTTTTATTATTTTACATTTTGAGAGGATTTAATGATGCTATGCAATATTTACACAATTGTTATTAGCTATTTTGTCCATTAAACTAAGTTTATTTGTTAATGAAATCTAAGTTTTTTAAGCATCAGGAAAATCAATGTAATATATTTCTACCTGTGTTTGATTTTATTTCATTAATTTACCTTTGTTTAGCTTGAATGTACCAATTCAGCTAAATTGATTTTATTTAAATCTGATTTTTAATTACATCGATTTGTTAATTTATTCTTCCTTTTGGTTTCCTACGGCTATTAGGATCTTTTCGTTTTACTTTTACCTCATTTTAGTTTGTTTGACCATCACCATCTTCCCTCTCGGTATAGGATTATAGCAGTTCTAGCAGCTGTTGTATCCTTAATGAGCCGTACAGGTTATTAGTAGCCTTAGTTCCTGTCTCTGCTCTACCCCTCCTTACTTCTCAGCACGAGTCCTATTACACAAGCTACAGTTACCATTCATTATGCTACAGGCCCCTGAGAAGACTAGAAACACTTCCTAATGTCTCTGTTTATGTACCTTGAGGTGTTTGATGTGCCCCTGCTAGCTTAGCTAACAGACCCCCTAGGTTTATGACCACAAGTGAGAACTGCTTAGTCATATCTCCTAGCTTAAACTAAATAAGGCAACCCCTTCAGTCTCTTTCTGATTTGAATTCTGTTTTGTTTTATTTAATACCTTCATAGTGCCCAAACCTGTGAACCATCAGTGCTTTGAGTAATAGTTTGACCACACGTATAGCCCGGTCCTTAGCTGACCCCTGCTTACAGCCCCCTCAACAAAGTTACTCAAACTCTCTCTTTGTGTTCACGAACACAAAACATAGCACCCTACCCCACTAGCTGCTCCTCACCAGCTATTCATACCTTACACGGCCTACACAGCCATCTCTCTCTCTGGTGTTCCCACAAGTGTGCCAGTATGTCGCAGACATTCCACAGACATCCAGCCCTGCCAGCTCACCAGGACCACCTGGAAACCCAGCAGAGCACTGCAATGGACATTCTTCAGCCCAAAGCACAGAACAGATCCAAGGAAATCACCAGCGCTAACAGCTAATGGACACCAAGCGCAGCTTGAAAAAGCCATCAGACAAGACTTAGAAAGAGAACCATTTCATACAAAGTCACTGTTAAAAACAGCGTATGTGGAACTTAATGAGAGAGACACTAGAGATAAGGCCTTAGAAGGCAATCTGCATGCAGCCAGAGCTGAAGTCCAAACCCGGACTCAGCAATTCTGCAACATTAAAGAGGAGCTTGACATGGTCCAGAAAGAACTGAAACAGTCCCCCCTTTGTATCTGTGTACAGGGGTGAGGGGGTTTACACTGCTGGCAGTGTGACGTGCAGCAGGGTGACTTTTACTTGAGTCCATGCGCAGTCTGTAGGACTGTTTCAGTGACTTTGTGTGAAACGGTTCTCTTTCTATGTCCTGTCTGATGGCTTTTTCCAGCTGCGCTCGGTGTCCAAAGCCTTCTGCTTGACACTTCACAAGTCAGTTTCCTGGAAACCTCTGCAGCCGCAAAAGGAAAAGGATCAATTCAGACAAACACTGAAATGACACATGGAGTGACACTCAAAGACCTCAACCGAATGGCCAGAAACATCCCTGCATTCACACCAGAACTTGCAGGAGAGGGTTAGGGCTATCACCAGCAAAGTCACGATACGATACGTATCACGTTACAGAGGCCACGATACGATACATGACTGCACTGAATTTGACCTCAGCAGAATTTAGAAAAACAGCTGTTTATTAAACACTGCTTACTATAGTGCCATTTCTAACTATTGGCAGAGCAGACAGTTGACCTCTGCATTATGAAGGGCCTCCATAACTGTACCACAGTACAATATAGGTAATGGCATATGTTTCATGTTTACATTGGGCACTCCCCACCAGGTACAAGTCACACACACAGATCACGTTGCGGCCGCACTCAGACATTCAGGAACAAACTTTTTAGCGCTGCCCTGCAGTTTTATCAACTAGATAGCTTAATCGCTCAAGAGCTACATTATCTTTCTCAACAAGAAGCTGGTAACATCGTTGTTTTTAAAGGAATTAAAGCCACAGCTTTACTGTTAATAGAGAAACGCTTAAGTAGCACACTTAGCAGATATTTCCATATTGCGCAAGTGTAAAGAACTGTTTTGGGGATTACGTCTCTTTATATCAGGAGTCAATTCCAAGGAGATTGTCAATTTTGGGGGCAAGTAATCAAGATTAATGGTCAAAAGAGATGCACAGCATGACCATCACATGTAAACCAGTGATCACGAGCTCTTCGGATTGACTTTTCCCCCACCTAAGAGACAAAGAACAGACTGAGATTCCTTACAGACCTCTCAATCTCTGGTCTTCACATGTCTATCATATTCTTGTTATAGAAATCATGTCCAAAAGTATACTCTGCAAGAGCGGGAAAACTCGGACCATGTGACTGAGATAACATTTGATTTATGTATTGGGAGGAGAAATATACAACACAAAGACAGTGTCTAATTGGTCAAAACACCATTCATGAGGAGAAACGCCACCTAGTCTCGTCAAACTTTACTTCTATTTCTTTACTTTAGTTCTTTTCTTTTCCGTTGAGAGTTTCGTGTTCTGAGTTAAGTTTTGCCTAACGCAGTGTCTCCGAGTCCGACCTCGAGTGCCATCTAAAACTTCAACCACAACTCCGCGTCGTCAGCCAACGCCCAACCACTGGCTTCCCAAGACTGAACTTCCAGCCAATCGGCAACCGCGGGAAACCCCCTTTTCTGCAAGGACGACAACAAAGGGAACCCCGGACACACAACGCAAGTACCTTATTTATATTGAAAAGAGAAGTATCTTGTGTTTTGTGCTTACAAGTTAATGTCTTAAACTGCCGATCTTGTTACTGTGCTAATTAATAGTGTTTTCACTATATTTTGGATATTAATATCCATTGCAGAGTTGATGTTATACGGCTCGTTCAATGAATCGCTGGCCGTCTCAGTGATCAGCCGTAAAACAGTGATTCTGTCCAAATTCCCTTTAAAATCTTAAATGATTCCCTTTGAGCTAAATTGACCTGTTTCCCTTACACAGGCAACCCAGTTGTGTTCCTCTGCGGCCAGATTAAACCTTGTTGTAGCCTATATATGCTCTATTCATTATTTTTTAGAAACCTCGCACTTTTCTACTAAATTTTAAACGTTGTCAAATTTTAAACAAATTAAGCGCGGTCCACTGCTGCACACGTGCTACAATATCGATACAGGGCCAGCTGTATCGATACTCGTATCGTCAAATCTCTGTGACGATACATCGTCGTATCGATATTTTGAACACAGCACTAATGATGTCCACACTTACCTGCGAGACATTGACTTTTACCTGCAGTCTTGGACCAATGTGAACCACCACGATAGACTCTATCTGCTCTGGATCACCTCTAGCCCAGAGGTGCGACGCTTCATGGCTCGACAGCCAGGACACATCCAGTCAGACTACCAGCGGCTTATACAAGCCATCATAAAGGAATTCTCAGACCCAGATTCTGAACACGGACTGATCGCTGCCCTAGACACCAAACAGTGCCGTCATGAAACTTCCCATGCTTACTACCACAGACTTCGACGAGCTTACTTCGGAGATCGCAATGAACCTGGGATGGAGGACGACACCAGCTTCAAGAGCCTTTTCCTTTGAAATCTCCACCCTATTGTAACAACTGCGTGACCTGACACAAAAGGCCTATAACAAGCACAAGGCCTCCACCAAAGGTGTTTGTAAGACCCCACTGATTCTGAACTGCACAACCCAGAATCCAAAGCAGGAACCCAGCATTGCCACAATTCAAGGCCCTGCTACAGAAAGCCACTAGCCAGCGGGGGACAGAGCCATCACC